TGACCCAAAAAAATACCGGGAACAAAAATTGTCAACCCAAAAAAATATGTCGGACCTCCCTGTCACTTTACCCACCTGAGTACACCCCCTGGGGGATGATTTCTGGAACTACACAATGTTAGGTATGATGACCCTTTACATTAACCGAAATCTCTGGTCATTCTAAGTTCTAACTTTTTTACCCACACACACTACCACTACATTCAATATTCTACGCACTCAGCACTCAACATGTTGATTTTTACGAAGGGAGGAAGCTGGAGAACCTGGAGAAAACCATGTACRTATAGAAAAGTAGAGAACAACACATAAACTCAGTCAATTAATATTGTGCCTGCAGGGCTTGAACCAGTGAAAAATTATATATACAAATGATGTATCTAATCATCTTAGAGTACGTCAATATGATACATACTTTTTCAGCACTGGCATCTTCATCCTCCTCTGGCACATCTTTCCCCCCTGACTCAATCTCCCTAATTTGTTTTTCAACTGATGCAGGTAGTTTAGTAACTTTTGCTGCTGCATCTGGTGGGGACTCTTTTTTGTCCTTACAAGTATGGCTTACTGCATCATAAAGAAAAGATATGTCCCTAGAAAATATATAGGAAAAATTTATACTTATTAATGGTTTAAAATGTGTGCCTCCAGAAAATATCCAGTATTGAAGTACATGTACCAGAGACGTAGGAGCCAGGGCAGGGCTTAGGAGGCTACATTACCCCCACCCCCGCTCTCTCCCACTGAGAAACAGTTTGTGATTAAATGCTACTTACAATTATAAAACTAAATGATTATATGCAAAAATAAGAGAAACATGATGCTTTCTATTTTTTTTCAGTACAACTTAATTTTCATTAAAGCACCCCTCCCCCCCCAAATAAAAGTTATGCTCCTATGTCCCTGAGTGCTGTGTACTGGGTAGATCCCTTTTCCAAAGTCACAATTTTCAGTGCCTTCTTACCTTCCTGCTCCACAGAGGCATGGCGGCTGTTCTGTTAAATGCTTTAGTTTTTCTCTTCCTTTAGGGTAGTTCCAAACATTTGCAGGTCTTCTACGAGATGGAGCAACACCACTCTATAACATGGCAAGCAATATATTGTATTACCTGTGACACATTACTGTACATCATTGTCATAAACACAAGACCAGAGCATCTCAATGTTTTTTTGGTTGTTGTTTTGCCATCARTTGTTTTCAATGACGTCAAAGAGGCTCAATTTAGAGGACAAAACACAATAATTTTTTAATCTTCTAAGAATTTTAAAGCAGTATTGTTTTGCCCTCTAAATTGTGCAAGAAGTGTATCGAAAGAAGCTAAAAACTGCAATATTTTTTAGCAATCTTTATGATGAGATTATGAAAATGAATTAAAGCAATCATTAATGCCTACAAGATTGACTCAGTTTCCTTGGTGCTTTAAACAGAAAACTTTGGCAACTTCATAGCAGTCATTAGGGGGAGTAGGGAGGTGGGTATCGTTATAGCTCTCCTACCCTCTCCTAACTCCCCAAACACTCTCACACACAATTGAAGCCAAGAATGGTTAACACACTACAAGTACATAAAAAAAGAAAAAATGTCTTCATCGTTACAATTACCTCTAAAGGCCTTAGTTTCTTATACTTTGAACCCGGTCCAAGTTGTTCTCTAGTCGGTGGAGTAGGAACTTGAGTCAAGCTGTTTAAAATATCCATAGGGATAAAGTCCTTTCCAGAAGTAATAAAAGTCTGATCTCTGTCGAGAGCTTCGACTGCTTGAGAGTCGTCGTATTTTTCAACTGCATGGTCCTTTTCGTTTGAAGATTTTCCATCGAGAATTGGAAGTACACAAGGTGAACTTGGTGTTTTCGTTTGTTTTAGCTTTCGTGGCGTCTTTCCTAGAGTTTCCTCTCTCAAAGGACTTGTGGCTGCAACAGTAGACATAGCTTTTAAAAGATCAACTTGTCCAAGAAGTCCAACCACAGACAACAAAAATGTAAACCTCCAAGTTTTTCAATACCAATGTCGCGGAATTTGAACACAAATTAAGCTTAATTTTGTCTCCTACTGCAAAATTGACTCTTTAAGTACACGCAGAGTAAAAATTCTTTTTAGATAAGTCCGTTTTAATAGTCCAAAATTTGGATTCAATACAATGAATGTCATTTGTAAACATCGTCCGCCATGTTGAGTTAGTTCTGGTTATTCGGTACCGTTGTTATGGAAACATTAAACACAGGCAACCCATTATAGTTTTTTTAATGAAACGAATAAGAGATTGGGCACTAGTCACCGCAATCAGCCTCTTCATTTAAACTTTGTATAAAATGGCTAAAAAAGGCGAAATTTGGAAACGCCGAGATCTAAAATAAAGTTACTGACGGCAGTTGAATAATCTAATCACAGTACGCCATCATCATGGTCACATACGTAAGAGTTTTCTACTTTTCGATCGCGGTGAAATTTTGCCTTTTTACGATAGAAAAATATAAAAAATTATAACTGTAAAGATATAGAGGAAATGAATTTTTCTTTTTATTTGCTGATTAAATAGGGTTGACGTGTCCCCTAATATATCAGGAGGGAACTCTGAAATCTGACCTGAGTTCCGGACATGCTATATACGAAGGAAGCTGCGAACGATGAAGGGGAAGCACCGTGACTTATTATTCTATAATGCTCTTGCCCAATCGAAAACCACGCGAAATTGCTACACCTAAATTACAGCTGTATCCCTTAAACACGGGCTTATTTGCTTAATAGGTTTACTTAAATTATTGGGGGAGCATCACTGGAAATTTTCACAAATAATATAATAGTAAAGCGAAAGTGTTCATAAGAAGCTTGAATTTTTACTCACCTTCACTGAAACATAAGGATATCTTACACAAAAGTAGCCCTCAGTGATGCAAAATTCGAAATTGGGAGATGGAACCCGGATGTCCAAAACTGGGGTGCGTCAAGTCCTAAGTAGCAAGGTCCGACATGATGATATATACGCCTACAGAATATCTCAACATGTACCTATGACGCATTTCCTGCTAAGACTTTGGGCCATATACAATATCATAACTATGCTCCGATAACGTACGTACTTATTCTTTAGTTTGACAATATACCACACGATACAGCTCTCTGCACAACTTAAAAACATTTCTCCTTGTGTCTATTGTATTTACAACAGCTGATAAGATAGGAAAGTCGTCAAAGATACAACAACGTCGACTCATAATCGTTATTTATAAAGGTAAGATTGAGGCTTATCATTGCGCTTGTTTTTGATCCCTTTTGATTTAACTTATTAAATGCTTGCATGAACTCAGTATGACAATTGAAATTCATCTATTCATTGACGCGGAGGGCCAAAAAGGCAACTGAAGATGCAGAATTTCAGAACATTTTTCATACGCTTTAGCCTTACCCTATTAAAAAGCTAGATTTTTGTTTTTATTATCAGCGTTACTGTCCGCACTAATAATGATTGACCCTGGAAGACACCTTTGTGGAAAATATATTTTATGAAATTCTCCTTCAGCGCTATGTTGTTTCGTTGTATGAAGTTTCTAAATGTCCAGCAGCCGTTTGCCGGTAATTATATTTATTTATTTATTTATTAAATCCAGCCCAATCCATGCACTTACAGAAACCAAGTGCATGATTACAAAGGACATTTTGTTTTTCAAATTTGTCTCGTAGTTAAACCTGGGCTGGTATACTCGGCCTCGAATTCGCCATACAGTGACTTACGGTCAAGGATTTCAAAACACTAAATGGTCGATACCCTAGGCTACAGAGGTTGTATAAATGACCGGCAGTTCCATCCATTTTTTATTATTATTTTTGATTATTTAGGTAGAGAAGAGCGAAAAAAAAAAAACAAACAAACACTAAACGACCTCAAATCCCTGAACAAGGTATAGTACAAGCAACGACTGCAGCAGGTTTTGAAGCAAGTGGGGAGTGAAACGTTTTATTGACATATCTTCATCATAACTCCCATACCATGCGCAGGAATCTTGTTTTGGGCTGCCTGTGGACTGGCGGACGCGAAAATGTCACAAATTTTAATTATAATTTTTTGTTTGAATTTAACTTAAAAAATCCAGCCCAACCCATGTAATAAAACCCCAACTCATTACTTCATAAAACCCCGAAAAATTAAAAAGGCAGATTTTCACAGGTCACCCATCTTGGTGCTGACTTCCCTCAACCGGGCTTGACTCAGTGTCAAAGAACCCAGGTTTTTTCCCACTGGACCACGGTTTCAGGCGAATCAGCATAACAATAGCCGTGAAAACAATGCACCAGATAGACTAGACTTTTTAACATTTTATTTTTAACCGATTCCGTGCGTGGCAGAGATGCAAGGGATTAGCCGATATGGTCTGGGGGCCGGCTGGTCTCTCCCCTGATGCTTCGGCTAGAACATTTTCTTGCDTAATTCGTACACCCAAGGGCAGAAGGATTTAATCGCCGTCAGGTCCGAAGTCCATACGACGCCTCAGCTCTGCGGATGTCTCGGGGGTATGGCAAATTGGAATCGATTTTCTTTCTTTTCTTTTTTTTCTTTTTTTGTTGTTGTTGTTGTTGACAATTTTGTCAGTGGGTTCGAATCCTATCGTTTCAAGACTTTTTTTAAGTGCATATTATCATCAAATTGGAAACTCCATCAATTCGACAATCTCTTTTTCCTCATAATTCAATTTAAAATGTTTTTTTGATGTCAAGAAAATAATGCCCTTGATTTTGGTCCCCCAAACTTGGATTCCGTGCAATGCATGCGTGGGATCAGGATCGATTCCTGTAATCGGCATTGAAAGTGAGATGTATTAAAGGAGGTTCGTTACATCTCGCATTTTTTCCGTGTTCTCCGGTTTTCCTCCATCTGCAAAATCTAACGAGCTAATTTTTGATATTCGACGTGTGAGTTAGCCGTGCCCTGCCTTTGATCAGCTCAGAGGTTGCTTCAGGGTTAATCTGTGAGTTATCCATACCCTGACTTTGATCAGCCCAGAGGTTGTTTTAGGGTTCCATCTGTGAGTTAGTAATGCCCTGACTTAGATCAGCCCAGAGGTTGTTTCAGGGTTCCATCTGTGAGTTAGCCGTGCCCTGACTTTGATCAGCCCAGAGGTTGTTTTAGGGTTCGATCTGTGAGTTAGCCGTGCCCTGACTTAGATCAGCCCAGAGGTTGTTTCAGGGTATCTATAAAGAGTTCTTGACATGTGGCAAATTTACTTCCTTATTTATTAAATCTAATATTCTATCATTACGATATTATTTTTAATAAGATGACTGGGATAAGATTAACTGTTTTGCTAAAACTCCAAATTCTAAGTCCATTAAAGTTGATTGGATGTCAAATAAAAAGAACACAAAGGTACACTTGTTCAAACGTGGAGTTCTTATCACGACAGATGAAAAAACACAGACCGTGAATGTTGAAGTATTCAAGAGCATAGGCTGTGAACAGGCGCCATACTCGACGTATAGTCCAATTGTTTCCTTTCAAAACCGACTCAATCTAAAACAAACAACATCCATTATTTATTGATAACCTCTCGATCAAAGTGTCCCGTATGTAAACATCACTCGTGACGTCATCCAGGTGTTTGATCTCTTGCACGTGATTGGTGGATTTTGTTTGGGTATTAGATGTGGTAAAGCGCTTTTGGCTCTTTACGATGCTTCTTGTTGACTCGTTCGCAGGGTAATCATGGAATTGAAGTGGATAGTCGTTTTTCTTGGAGCCTTTGCTTTGATTCATCTTACTATTGGCGAGGAAGAGATTCCTGAAATTGAAGGTAACTAAACATTTTGATAATTCATGGAATTTTATATAAATTTGGATTGGTTTTTGAGAACTTTGAGTACCTTTTTATTCTCTCTTTTAATTCACTTAATTTTTTCTCAAATTTGATTTAAAATGTTTCTTTCTTACATTGCCTTTTTTGGTTTATTTTTTTCGCTCCCATCATTGTTCAAGTGCTACCTTATTTTGTTATACTCGGATATGAGAGTATTTTACGTATTTCAAAGAAATGATATCATGATGGTACAGTCATATGTAATCCGATTCACATACGTGTTACTGTACCCCTCCTAAGTTTCCAGCTACCCCCCCCCCCCCCCCCCCCCCCCCAGTTTGAACGATTTCCAAACCCCACCTGAAATCAACTAACTTATTCAATCGAATCGAACCTAACAGTGTCTTGAATATCATTCACAGCCATAGAATTTTCATGGCGACTGTATCCCCAGGATAATTACGAAAAAATGAGAACGACTTTCTCCTAAGTCGATCACTTTAATAATCCGACCAGCCTTTGAAAAAATGACCGACCAATTCAGACGTGGATATTTGTCGAGGGTAATCGGACAATAATGGAAAAATAAACCTTGCATCCAACATAATTCTAAAGGGTCTTCAAGTAGAACGCCAAGTAGTGGTGGGTGTTAAGTTCAAACCATGCAGTCCCTCTAATTACATTCAATCGAAATCCTGAGGCAGGAAAGTAGCGAGATCTCGTTGATAGAGGGGAGGGGACGATGCACCATTTCCAGCCAAATCCACAGGAATCCCGCATGAATCAATTAATTTTTAATGCCCAAAGCAAACGCTTGCCCACTCTCCCTATAGTGTTCTGTGCAAATGCAACCCATTGAAAAAATGGGTGTTTTAAATGTGATTTCTCTTTGTTCATCAGAAGTTGAAGAAGTCAAGGAACATGTTCGCGTAAGAAGACAAAGTAAGAATTGTTAAGCATTTGTTTACTCATCTATATATTGCTTGGTCAACCAGATGAATCAATGATGATTATCCATTGGACTTAAAAGAGAATGATTTTTTTTTAAAACAAATACTTTATTAACACAAAGACGTGACAATTTACAATTTACAATATACAAAAAGCTATACAAAACCTTTTCTATTTTTTTCCTTATATATTTTTTCTATTCCTTATATACGTTTATTTGTTTTGTTTTGTTTTTTTCACCGACCTCCTCCTCTTACATTTTTTATGTTTTGTTTTTTTAAATCTACAATAACATGCAGTTATTGATATTTTTAATACTTTTTTGCTATTGCTGTTGCTACTTTTTCTTTTCTTTTCTTAAAAAAAAAAAAAATAGAATGAATGCCATTGATTGTATCCGTGAATTTTGTACTTTACACTTTTGCCAGGCATTTGTACCGACAAATTGGATTACTGTCAGTCATGGCCCGATAAATATTGCCAAGATTACAAAGATTACATGAAGACCAACTGCCCCAAAAAATGTGGATACTGCAGTAAGTTTGACTGGTTCTTAGCTTTTTTTCTTGAAATATTGAAATAAACATTACGTTTACAAGTTGACAAAATCCTGTTAAATTACAAACCGAGTAGATAAGACGAAAATTTTGTAATGAGAGGGTATTTGTATTAAAAGCGTAAGGGTGTTCTTTTGGTTAATTTAAGAGTAAATTAATATCGTTAGTTATCGTAAATATGTCCTTTACGGGGTGTTGGTCTAATGCTTGAAAACTTCATTTGCAGTTATGTACGTGGTATTAATATGGTGGGCAGGGGAGAGCAAGTGAACAGTCTAACCTCAGTCTATCAACTTTTTTTGTTATTCATGTTTATCGAAACTAAAGCAGATATACTTTTATTTATTTTAAAGGTGGACCAACACAAGCACGTAAGTGTAAAGCGAGTATTGAATAATATTGTTGTTGCTTGAAGTTTTTTTCATGTTTTCATCCATTCCTTCCTTGCTTCTTTTCTTGCTTGCTTGATGCTTGCTTACTTGCTTGCTTGCTTGCTTCTTTGCTTGCTTGCTTGCTTATTCACCTACCCAGTGTCAATCAATAATTCAATTAATCAAATAAAATTATTTTTCATGTAA